GAATTTACATTTTTTATAAATGAATAATCATTTTAAATATGTACTTTTATAAAATAAAAATCCTTAAAATATAAAAATTATTAAATTACAATAATTTCAATATCTTATGTTATATATATTTTATTTTATTTTAATATAAATAAAAAGCATTTAAGTTATTTTATAGTTTATTTCTTTATTCAAATAATTTCAAATATCTATTTGAAATTATTTTAAAAATCATCTATATTGTCATTAATACTATCTAGAAATAACCCGTATTGTAATTTTAAATTGTCTTCAATTATACATTAACAGTTTTTTCTTATATTAATTAATTTTTTAGTTATAAATGTTAAATTAGAATGCATGTTGACATGTTGGTTTAATTAGAAAAATTTATGTGGGTACAATTTATTTAATAACAATTATAAATTATTTTTATAAATCACAAATAATTGTTGCAATTGTAATCTGTTCTTTCAATCAATAATTGTTTTCTTGAACTGAAAACAACAAATATTGATTGCATCATCTAACATATGATAGTTTTTATTTTTATTTAAGTTTGTTGAGGTAAATTTTAAAAATGATTTATGTTATTCATCTTTTGATTTCAATTATTTAGATGATAGAGATTTCATATAACTAATATTCAGAAATGTAAAAAATGAGAGAAAATAAACAAAAGAAACTTTTTTTCAATCTTTTGTTTACTTGAAATATTTTTTAGGTGTCTATACTGAATGGTTTAGTACCATTCTGTTGAAGTTGAAAGAAAATTTCTTGTTCCAGAAAAATTGTAAATTTTTAACCTTTGAATTATTTATTCTGAAATATTCAGTTAAAATAATTATTTAACAATTTGTTTTATATTAACTGTTTACTAAAAATATAAAATATTTACTATAATATTAAAACAAATTTAAAATGAATCAATCATTACTTAAAAATTGGAGAATATTTAATAGCAGAATGAATTTAATTTTGTATCACATACTGTATTACAGGTTTGTGAACTGCTTAATGTAAATTAGCATTTAAATTAATATATATTTTTCTTAAGATTTTGAAAAATATTGTGCAATATTTGATGAAAGTTTTCACTTTACTATAGATATAAAGAAAAAGAAGCATGTGAACTTGAAACTGGTTTTTTTATCTTCCACTTCTGTGCCTTATCTATTTGATATTTTTGTAAAGATATATTTTTTGCAAAGCAAATATTCTGTTTAAAAAATTTATTACAATGGCAATACCAGAGATAGATCTGACCAATTTAGACGAAAAAGAAGTTAGAACGATTTCTAGAGTTTTACAAAGAGACAGAACTTTAAGGATTATTGAAGAGAATAGATTATTGTGAGTATTAAATATTTTACTCATTCAAATTTAAATTTATATTAGTTTAAATGTAAAGATAAAATTTTTTGATGTCTTTTCAAGTGATGTAACTTGTTTAAAAATGCAATTAAATATCTTATTTCTTGTATTATAATAATAATAATTAATATTATTATAAACAATACTAT